CGTCGTGAGTTTTAAGCCACCGGGTCCAGGACGCGAACCGCGGTCGACTACGTGGGAGTCCAGCGACATAGCCATTACACTAACTGCTGGTCCCTCCCCAGGGTGGCTCTTCAACATCTTTCTCCTTACGCTTCATGTCACAACTACCTGGGCCACAGTGACAGGGCATCAGCTGTGAGGGCCGCAGGACGCCCGGGTCACCCTCTGCGCCCAGTCCTGATCCCCAGTCTTGACCGAGCTTGTGGCCACCTGTCACCAGGGACTGCAGCGCTGGCAGTGTCTGTGGGGCGCAGCGCGGTGCACGGGTACACGTGTGAGCACAGGGTGCGGCCTTGTCTTGGTCACATCACGTGTCTGCCAGAGGCGCCTTGGTGCGTGCCTTGTCCTGTGTGGCCCGAGTTTGTTTTTAATTTCCAGAAGGTATTTGTGCTATCCAGAGAGAGACAGAGGGAGACACGGGGGGGAGACAGAGATGGAGGGAGAGAGAGATGGAGGGGGACAGAGAGGGGGGAGAGAGAGAGATGGAGGGGGACAGAGAGAAAGAGAGAGAGATGGAGGGGGACAGTGACAGAGAGAGAGAGAGATGGAGAGGGACAGAGACGGAGGGAGAGAGATGGAGGGGGACAGAGATGGAGAGAGAGAGGTGGAGGGGGACAGAGACGGAGAGAGAGAGAGATGGGGTAGAGAGACCGAGAGTGAGAGAGAGACAGAGGGAGAGAGGCCGAGAGAGAGAGGAGGAGAAAGCAGCGAGTACAGTTCAGTACAAGCTAGGAGCCCCCTCTGGCCCTGGGCTCATTCCTCCTCCCCACTTCTCCGTCCTGTCAGGACTCGGGGCACAAGCGCTCACACACGGTGTAAGCTGCTGGGGGAGATTCAAACCACCGTCAGCTGCATAGGGTCCAGTTCCCTTAACTGCTAGGCCGCGGAGCTGACCCCCACTATTACTGCTCTTTTCACTGCCACAGGACATGTGAGCTCTTCTAAAGAGAATTCCTTTGAGAAAGTGTAGACGATACAGAAAGGTAAAGGATTAGAGACAAAAGAAAAATAACAGTAAGCTCGCCAGAAGAGGCAGCCGTCATTAACCCTCGCTTTCCTGTACTGGCCTTTCGCCATGAGCGAGTACGCGGATGTGCGCGTGTGTGCTTTTCACGTAGTTGGGATCGCCCCTCTTTACCACTTTTGGTAATTTTTGATTAAAATTACTTTTATCTAATTGTGTGATAATTAATTAACATAATTTTTCATCCAAATTATCAATTTAACAAACTGTTTTCAATTAACATTTCAATTACGCACATTTTCTTGTCTCGTTAAATGCTCCTACGCGGTCCTGATATGCAGGCGCTGAGACCCAGCGGTCAGACCGACAGCCTGCAGCTGGCACCGCGGCCAGCGCCGGAGGCTCTCCCGCATCTT